GATACCATGGTACTCACTGTGAAATGGCTCTTCCCTGGGGCTTAGACTTACATTAATTAGTCTGTGATGTTTTGATTGATTTTTCTCTGTGTTTCAGAAAGACTTGTGTTGGATTTGTGTTACCATGAGTTGAGACTGTCTAAATCTTGATTCGCAACCAGGCAAAAATCATAAGCCACTTTCTAATGTCACCAGAACACAAGATTATAAAATGTAGCTATTAAAAAATGGCATCACTATTTTAAAAACTAATGAAATAAAACACAGCTATCGGATGATTTCTTTGCAGGCCCAGAGGCCATATTTTCAAGCACACGATCTCAGGTCAGGAAAAGAGATGGAATTCTTTCTTTTTGATTGAAATGGTTCAGAATTGGCCTTTAATTGACCTGGAAGTGAGAAGAAACAAGGATTGGATATAAAAATATAATAGGGTTCACTTGACACCTGCCAAACATTTTAACCTACCCCGGAGGGCTCTTTCTCCATCCTCAAACCCTGGTTTGAAAAGAGAAAGGAAAAGATGCCAGTGTTGTTTGCTTGGAACAGAGAAAATGGAATGGTGGCAACCAATGAACCAGCACAGCGTCCAGCGTGCTGACCAATTCCAGGGTGCTGTCCACCTCCCCCAGTGCTTCCAATCCATAATTCTTGGTGTAAATAAGGTAAATCCGTGGCCACAACCGCTGTGATTACCAGTACAGTCAAGTGTCTAACAGGTGGCCATCCAGCACGTGGGATAGTAACCCCGGGTCTCTCAAGTATAACTCTGGCTTCAAAGGTGGTAACAGAGGCAGGTCAAGCATGTTGGTTAACCCTTAAGCCTCTTGTTCTGCATCTGTAGAAGAGGAATAAAACAGTCTCTATCTCTTAGGAATCCCATGATGATTAAATAATACCTGAAACGTTCTCAGCACTGTGCTTGGGACAATATTAATAATAGTGTTAGCTATAAACTTTATTTTTGGTGTTGGAGATCATACCTAGGGCCTCATGCATGCTAAGAACACTCTCTACAACTGAGTACATCCCACCCCAACCCATCAATTATTGTCAGTTGCATGGTTTGGGAAATATTAGTGTGTGTTGAACCACAGTCAAGTGCATTGAGCAATCTTAGTGCCATCCACTTCTGATCCATAATTCTTCAGTGGATCGTGAGCTAAATCTATAACTATGCTCACATGACTGCCAACACGTCCCAGTGCACAGTGGTAGCTTGCACGCTAAACACGTGCTCTATAGCTAGCTGGCCCATTTTAAAGACTGATTTCCAAGTAACTGACTGAATTCTGGATGGTGGAGCTATCCCCTATACAGTTTTGACCAGCAAATCTTTTCATCTGCCAACTCCAAGGAAAACCACGGGGGGAAACAGAATCTGCTTCTTTCATTAACTTTCAGGTAATTTAAGTTTGAATATTATTTCATTCATCAAGTTTAATGATGGTCTGATTCTCTTAGTATCTCAAATTTTTCAAATACAGTTTTCTTCCCACAATTCTTTATTCCCAGTCCAAACCTCTTACAAAAGGTCTATGGGGTAAAGAAATCTTATGCCCGGTACCAGTCCAGGCCATAGGACAAGAATGGGAAAAAGACATCTAAAGACCTCATGAAGGTTGTGCTTACACAGCCAGGCCTTGTTCCAAGTGTGTTATAATCTACTAATTCCTCCTAACAACGCTGTGAAGTAGGGAGTACCATGCTCCCTATTTCCTAGACAAGAAGACAGAGGCACAGAGAGATTAAGAAATTTGCCTAAGGTTACACAGTTAGTAGATGACCGAGGCAAGGCTCAAACCCAGGCAGTCTGGCATCAGTCTGAGCCCTTAACAAGGGGCTGTGGACACCAATTATGGTTCAGCGTATGTGGGACATTGTAATTTTCTCTGTTCCTTATACGTTTTGATAATTTTAGGGGATGAAATAAACTGGTAAGAGATAGATTGACAGGGAAAAACATGCAAATTTTATTAGGTGATCCCAAGCAGACAGTGTGGTCAAAGGAGGGTCAAACAGGTGAATCCTATATATATACCACACAGGGAGAAATTTGCCACCTCCTAGAAGGAGGTGGCACAGGTAATGGAAGGGCAGGGGAGGAGCCAAGGCTGTACTGGTATGCAGATAAAGCCTCCAGCAGCAGTGCAGAGGGCTGGTAGACTCTGCCTAGGCAGGAAGTTCTTTGATCTTCTGTGATTTCCCAGGAAGGCCACAGTCTTAAGGAAAAAGTCTCTCACTACATTCACTCCACCCCACTAGTGTGGACAGATACACATTTCTTCTACAAATGGGCAGCTCTTCAGTGTATCCTTCATCTCTCTGAGTCACCATTTCAAAATAGAGCAAAGAAATAAAAGAAATGTATTTCAAGGGGGCATGTACTGGGGGGAGGGGGGTTACAGGAGTGCTAAGAGGGAAATAGCAGATAAGCAGGCTGCTGCTACAAAGAGAACCTGGAGGAGAATATGCCCCACCCCCGTGGTGCCCACCAGGGAAGGTTGCCCAAGAGGCAGTAGGGGAGCTAAGACCCAGAAGGTGACAAGGATCCAGCCACACCATGGAGGGGTGAGGGGACTTCCAGGCAGGAGGAGAAGAAATGGAAAAACCAAGAGAGGCAAGAGTGGTTCAAGAGAGAGATGAAGGGAGAATAAATGTTGATGGAGACAGACAGGATGGAGGAGAGCAGCAAGAGTCTTTAAACAGAGAAGACATGACCCAAGACCTGGATGCTGGAGACAAGGGGACAGAGGAGCACCTAGCATAAGGAGGATCAGCTGGAGGGCAGGGAAAGGTAGGGATCCTGGCAGGACTGGGCAGCAGAAGACAAGGTGATGGGTGAGGAGGACCCAGTCCTCAGAGCCATCTGAAGGTGTGTGGCCTGTGCTCCCAAGAGTTGGGGAAGGTCTGAACATAGAAGTTGTAGAATCAGAGCTGAATTAGAAGAACCGCTCCAACTGGTTGGGAGATGAACAATTAGACCCTTTCTAAGAGTTCAAGAGGCTGCTGGTGACATTGGTGAAAGATGATAGGGACTGAACAAGGCTGAAAACAGTGGCTATTCATGACACACCAGGCACTGTTGGAGTAAATCAGATCAGGGGCTACTCTCTAGGAATTTCTAAGAGGTACTTGTGAGTTCAAGCTTGGTGATCCATGAGTGGAAGGAAGGAGAGAAGAGTTGGGGAGACCGCTGGGGCCCCCCTTCTGGCTTGCAGGGTGAGTGTTGTTTGGTAAGAACTTGCCGGTGGTACAGTTCATGACACACTGAAAACTCCAGTGGCCAAGGTAGATGTAAACAGAATCCAATGACTCCTGTAAGCATGGAACTGAGGATTGAAAGAGATGTTTTATAGGTCTCAGGGTTGCAGCCAAAACAGATCAGAACCAGAAATAGTCTGCTTCCAACAAAATAATAGTCCTTTTAGCATGTGCAAGGCTTTGAGTTCAATTCCCAGTGCTGAAAGAAAAAGAAAAAATAAATAATACTCCCTCTGAGAATGTCAGGAGATGAGCTTCAATTGCATTGTGAAAGAATTAGACTTTGCATTAGGACAAATCCTCCAGGACTCCACAGTACTGAAAAATCCAGTTCACACTCAGCTTCCCATTATTCAGATTCGGATCATTAAGTCAAATCCTTCAGTTTTGAGTACCTGATCCTGATAGCCTGAAATAAGACTGATGGCCCTTAACATGGACGTTGGACTTTTTCTTGGACATGAAGCATTCACAGAGTTTCTCTTCTATTGTTGATGAGACCTCTTGAACTGTCAGAAATTTTCTCCACAGAGCTTTAGAAAAGAATACATGACCTGTGTCTGAAAAGAAAGGATGGATGTGAGAGATTTCTTTTTGTGACAAAATTTGTAAATGTTCACTCCTAGGGTGCCCTGGAAATAATGGTGTCAGACCTACCAGGGTCTCCTTCCTCTATGGTGGGTTGAAAGATGGATGGGTGTAAGTTATACTTTAAGAGATGGGTGGGTTCTAGAGAAAGATTTTACCCATGACACAAGCTGGTTTTCACTAAGTGGGTGCTCGCTCCGGCTTTTATCAACCGTTTTGACAATTCATGAAAAATGTGTCTAAAGCAAGTGGAGCTCCCCAAGCAATAAACATTTGGACAATGTTAATTCAGTATTGTTCTTGGTGGAGATCTTCTCAGAGTTTGTGTCCCTTTTTTTGGAAAGAGGACGTGCCCACCGGTTTTGCTCCCCCGGTTTGTTCAAATGGAAGTCTCCCTCTCCGGGAAACACCGAGAATCCCTGACAATCGCCCCATGGGCTAGGTTATCTTGCAGCAACTTCCATTACCCAAGAGTTGAGGGGAGATTAAAATCCAAGACAATTGGAGTGGATCGAGGGGTAAGAGCCGCGCCTCCAGCCAGGGGAGCTGCGTTCTCCGGGCTCGCAGGGTAGGAGAGGGCCGCTCGCCGCCCATGGTTGGGGTACGGTGGGGCATTGCAGGGACAAGAGGGGGGCCTGGTTTTCGGATCGGCATCCGCAGCATCCCCGCGCGCTGGGGATGCGCGCTGCCTCTCTGGTCACTGTCACCAGCTAACTTTGTCTCGCCTGCGGGTGCAGTGGAGAGAAGCCAGGAAAGCTGAGCCAGCTCGGAGGACGACTTGGGGCGTCCCCGGCTTGGCGGGGAGCGGAGGGGGTGTGGGGGTGGTGACTGGGGCGCTCATTGTTGTCCCGGGATCGGGCGGCGCTCCTAGGCCGGGCGGCGGCGGCGGCGCGCGCGGTCCCCGCCTTGCACACGATCAAGCGGCCAGCCGGCCAGGCCGGGGCGCGCGGGGCACCATGCGGAGGTCCCCGCGCCGGCGAGGGGCGGGCTGGCGGCGGTGCGCCCTGGCGCGCGGCCAGGCTCGGCGTGAGCGGCGCGAGCGGGCGATGGGCTGACGGAGGACCGAGGCGGGCGGCGGCGGGGGCGGGGACCGGGACGGGGACGGGGACGGGGACAGGGCGCGCCAGCACCGGCTGGGCGGCTGCGGGCGCCGCGGAGGAGGAGGCGGCGCCGGGCGCGGAGGCCGCCAGCTAGGCCACGGGCCTGCGCCCCGGCGCGGATGGGACGCCCATTTCGGTGCAGCAGCCACTTGCGACCCCAAGTTCCTCTGCTCCCTTGGAAGCGCAAAAAATAAAAGGTAATGTGTCTTTGTTTCCCAGTGCCGGCGGCAGCCGGGCAATTGATTATGCAGCACTTTTGTTGCCATTTTTTTTTTCCATGCTGGGCTGGGTAACAGGGACTGGCTACTTCTTTCTCGTGGGGCTTAGAGTCTTTTATTTCGCGTGGGTTACATTTTTAAAATGTAAAGCCCCACGTGGGGTACCTACTACACTCCCTTCTGCCAGCCCTTCCCCTACACACGCGGTCCTTTTGGCACTGCAATCCCACATTACCTGAATTTACCCAGGGAGAAAGGATAAGGGATTCTGCAAACAGAGCTCCCTGTTTTGTTTTGTTTTTTTTTTAATGTTTTCTGGAAGTGACAGAGCAGTTCTGTCCTTGGGTGCAGGAAAGAGCGCTTCAGCAAGGTGGCAGGAGGCCGGCAGCCGCTGGACTGCCGAGCCCGCTAAGATGGACTGCTGGCTTCCATTCCAGATGGCTGCAGCAAGTTTAATGCAGAGAAAACGGGAGCTGGGAAGGGGAGGAGGAAGACAGGAGTGATCTCCTCCCTTAGTACCTACTCATTTAAAAATTATCAAACGCGCTGCTTCTGTATTGTAGGCAGCTGGCCAGGTGTTGGTTGGTGCACAGTGAATTCAGGCAAGGGTACCCAGTGCCGCACACTGAAAGCTGCGGGATCTGCCAGTGTGTCAACTCGGTGCCTTTCTCCAGTCTCTTGTTAGCAGACTAGCTGCTCAGTCGATTCGGGCAAATTCTGCAAAATTTACAAGGGATGGCTGTTCTAATAATAGCTTTGGCGGTGGCTCCGTAATACACATCCTCATTCTGAATGAGGCAGCCTTGCCAGCCCCCTGGGAAGTGCAGCTTGCTGAGAGAGGCGATCCAATGCCGGTAACGGACTCCCTGACCCCACCATGAATGGAGAAGGCGCTGCCTCCCCTATGAATGGAACATCCCAACAGAGGCGGCCACTGCTGCCTCTGGCTCATTTCAGTTTGAATCCTCCCCATTTGGATGAGAGGGATGCTCAGAAAACCTGGACAGCTGCATTTCTAAATCTGAGATGGTCCACGTTGGGTTTTTGGACTGACATCTGCCTTAACTGCCAGACCGTTCAGCTGCTCCTCCCCGCTGTCCATCTCAGAATCCTTTAAGTCTCATTCTTTTCCTCTCATGTGAGTGATAGGTGGAAAAGCACCAGTCAGAGAATCCAGGACAAACTGGTGACTTCATGCAGGGCAGCCACTGCTAGCTGGGGACAGTACCTCAGGAGACGGAACTTAACTATGTCTGCTAACCTTTAAAACGCACCCAAAGTGCTTTTGGAGAGAAGAGAGGTGGGAGGCACACATTTTATTGTTTCGTTTCTGGCTTTCAAGTTGCATGAAACCCATTCATAGCATTTGGCCCAGGAGACCAGAGCCTCAGATCAGCAGAAATCTGGTTTTGATTCTGTTACTTGTCTCTTGCAAACCTCGAGTTTCAGATGAGCCAAATTGTACATTGCTTTCTGTTGGCCGAGCTATCCATTCTGCCACCAGTGAAGTCTGGGTTTGTCTAAGGCACAACAGGATCGAAGGTCTTGCATGTGGCTGTTAGATTAGAAGGCATTTAATCCTCAGAGGTTACAGAGCTATAATTACTTTAATAGACGGCAATGTTTGGACAGACTTTGAAATCGACACTATATTGCCCAGCCAATAAATAGAATTTTGCATCTAGATAATGTAGAAAGAAATGATGCCTGGTGTGCAAGTTGTGTGGGTAGAGATAACTTTTATTTTTTAAAAATTAACTTCTTCTTGAATTTAAGAGGAAAAGTTTTAGTAGGAATGAAGATCAGAAAACTTCTCCACCCTCTTTTGTTCTAACCAAGTGTCATCTCTTGCTGTATTCTTTTTGGCCTTTGTCCTGGATTGATTTTATTAATAAGACTTGTTATTTATGGCCCAGAGTGTCTTTATAATTTGTAGATATTGTCGCCAAGTCCCCTGGCACCCTGGCAGGTGGCTAGTGTCATTAGCATGATCTTGTCATTGGGGAAACTGAGACCCCTTGAGGTTCAGTGTGTCGCTGATTTCCTAATCCATGAGAACTATATCCCAGATGTGTTCTGCATTGCTTTAATTGCCACATAAAGTTACAGCCTGAGGTCAGAGGAAAAGACCTTGGGTTCTGGAACTTGGGAAGAAGCTTTGTGGAATAGCAAAGATGCAAGAATTGTCAAGGAAAGGGCTCTGGGTCAACTTTGATGAGCAGACAAAAACACTAGTTGGTTTATGGTGGGAAGAAGAGAGTTAGTGGAAAGTTCAAAAAGTCAGCTATTGAGGGATGTGCTGGACTTCTTTTGCCTTTAAGTAAGTGTGGGGTGGAGACGAGACCTTCTTCAAAGGTCATTATTGACTTTACTGCATAAATATACCACTTGTACTCGCACTGGTTATGCTTGTGCGCGTGTGTGTAGAATGCTTATAGTTCTACTTGAATGTATTCTGCAAGCCATATACTTATTCCTTGGAAATATGTTCTTATCTTCTTTTGCATTTAACTTGACACACCACACTAAATGACTGAAAACATCATGGGGCTATTTACACTCTAAAACTTTGTATTAGATTTTTTTTTGCATAAGTAAATACATCTTTAAAAAAATAAAGGAACAATATAACTTCTGGAGAAATTTTAGTTGAATACGTCTACAGGAAAAATAAACATGCTAATAGTTAATTAGCTTATGAAGTTATTTGAAACCACACTATACACAGTATCTGAACATCTAAGTGTTGGTTCATCGCTGACTTTTTAATTCTTTTCTTTCTTGGATAGCACTTAGTGTGTTGGTAAAGTTTAGGGTAGAAACTCTCTTTTTTAGGTTTATTTGCTGTGAAATATTCCAGTGTCTCAATAAGAAGTGATTTCTGGAGCCTCATGGAGGGCAATTGGGTGATAATCTTCCAATGATTATTAGGCTAAGTCAAAAACATTATATTTCACTTGACCTAAAAGAGCAAGAGGGAAGCTCCTTTACCCTGCAAGCCTCCAAAGCTAACTCAGATCCACATCCCTGTGGCCTCCCCTGGGTCCTTCTGGGCTCATCCACTTCTCCACCTTGCCCAATCTGGTTCTCTGCTGTCTACTGCTTTCTGAAAACATCCTGAAAGGAACAATGAAGACATTGGTTGTCTCTGAAAAAGGAGGCATTGCAGGAAGAAAAGCAAGTGAAAGAATCAATCCATCTAACTGTAGGATTAGACGTAGGATATACAGTTCCACAAACTTTTTCTACCACCAACAAAATCAGACAATCTTAGGGCATCTAGGGAAAGTGATTGTTTAAACTCCGACCTGATGGAGAAGTGGGAGCTTTGAGTCATTTTACCCGGTAGTTTTCAGTCCAGCTGTAATTAAACCGAAGCATATTGGTAGTGTTTTCCTTTTTTCTTTTTGTTTTATCTAGAACCTCTAATCTAATCTCAAGAGCTGGTACAATAGCTCTTTGGAGCTCTGGGCTTCAGAACCACTGTTTTACACAAAGGACATATGGCTCGCTGCTGTCTTCTGCAAGACGTTTTCTGAATCAGCCTAAATTGGGCTTATCAGAACTCTCTCCACAGCACTTTGCTTTGAGTTCCCTAAATCCATCCAAGGCTGCCTTTTCCTCTTTCCCTAAAATCAGCATGACTTTCTCTTACAAAGAGTAGGTCAAACACACCCTGATACTAAGGATAGCAAGCTCCACCCCTAGTACCATTCTCCTAGATCTATGTCGCGGAGTCTCCCTGCTGCTCATTTTGGGTGCTCACGAGTGTAGATTTTTGCAATTCTTAATCATACCTGTTCATGGATATTTTCTTCCAAAGAGAAATACTGTCTCTTTGAAGATGCAAATGATTGCTAAGAATAAAGGCATGGTTGTCGGAAAGTAGTAGAGGAAGAAGAGGAATCTGGTTTGGTCCAATGGCCTTATTGCCATCAAATAATCAAGAGAAGATTTGTTGGTGGCCTTGGTTTGAACTGGGTGAGTAACCTCCCTCCAGACATACCGGCTAACCAACTGTAATTCAGAAATGTTAACTTGTCACACCTCACTTGCTAGGAGGCACGGTCTCTGTGCTGTGGGTGTTTTCTGGGTTTTGGTTTTAAGGGTAGAGCTTCCACCATTCCATGACACAGCAAGCAGAAACTTGTTCATGGTCGACAGCGCTGGAGTACGTATAACCTTTGGCCTCAAGTCCAACGACATTCACATACTCCTTCTTGCTCCCGTATTATTAGCACTCATTTGCCAATTCATGGCTACTGTATACTTTGTGTGTGTTGTATGTGTTGAGTGTCTGTGTGTGTGTGTGTGTGTGTGTGTGTGTGTGTGTGTGTGTGGCTGAAAACCCAAGGCCTCACATATGCTAGACAAGCATGAGGAGAGTGCTTTACCACTGAGCTACACACCAGCCCTACTACATACTTTTTGTTCACTTAAAACTCAGCACATTTAATCCACTGTTCATGGTGCTAGATCCTTGTTGAACAAGCAAATTGCTGTGTGGATTCATCATACCACACACCAACATCGGTCTCTTTAAGGCTTCATTAGAAACCTGAAAACCCCAAGGATCTAACGCAAAATGGAGCTTGTTAGGTCCTCCTTATCTAGCCTGTTCTTAGTCTGTACTGTGGCATGGACCTGCTTTCTCTGTTAGCAATACACTGCCAATCTTAGAGCCAGGAGACTTGAAACTACTGCAAAATACTAAGCCTTTAGACACTGTTTTTCTGCTTCCTATCAGCCAAGATCCAGCCTTGCAAACCCGAGGCTATAACTCCACCATTCTCATCAGAATTAGTCTGGTCTGGTGCTACAGTCATCTTTTCGAGGCTCTTGCCTTTCTTTGTCCTTGCTGTATGAGGAATGCATGAAAAAAATGGTGTGTAATGGGGAATTAGATTGATAATGCATGACAGCGAATGGAAATAATAATCGGAGAGTTGCCAGGCTGTGCCACTCATAACCATAAAATG